ATTCTGTGTTGGCAATCTAGTGAAATTTTCTGTGTTGACAGTGTTGTAAATTCTGTGTAGGCAGTGTAGTAAATTCTGTGTTGGCAATCTAGTGAAATTTTCTGTGCTGAAGTGTAGTATATTTCTGTGTTGACAGTGTAGTAAATTCTGTGTTGGTAATCTAGTGAAATTTTCTGTGTTGACAGTGTTGTAAATTCTGTGTTGGCAATCTAGTGAAATTTTCTGTGCTGAAGTGTAGTATATTTCTGTGTTGACAGTGTAGTAAATTCTGTGTTGACAGTCTAGTGAAATTTTCTGTGCTGCCAGTTTAGTATAATTCTGTGTTAACACTTTGTGTTATTTCTGTGTTAACAGTGTAGCGTAATTCTGTGGTGATACTGCCATATAATTCTGTGTTGATACTACAATATAATTCTGTGTTGATACTACAATATAATTCTGTGTTGATACTACAATATAATTCTGTGGTGATACTGCAATATAATTCTGTGGTGATACTGTGGTGATACTGCTATATAATTCTGTGTTGATACTACAATATAATTCTGTGTTGATACTACAATATAATTCTGTGTTGATACTACAATATAATTCTGTGTTGATACTACAATATAATTCTGTGGTGATACTACAATATAATTCTGTGGTGATACTACAATATAATTCTGTGTTGATACTGCAATATAATTCTGTGTTGATACTGCAATATAATTCTGTGCTAACACTTCAATTTTCGTGATGGCTCTTACATAACTTTTCTGAAACTTATATTTCTGCACCAAAATTGTATTACATTTCTGTGCTGGCAGTGTAGTCTACTTTTCTGCTGATACAATGCTTTATTTATATATTACCATTACTTTATTTATGTACTACCATTGCTTTATTTATGTACTACCATTGCTTTATTTATGTACTACCATTGCTTTATTTATGTACTACCATTGCTTTATTTATGTACTACCATTGCTTTATTTATGTACTACCATTGCTTTATTTATGTACTACCATTGCTTTATTTATGTACTACCATTGCTTTATTTATGTACTACCATTGCTTTATCTATGTACTACCATTGCTTTATTTATATACTACCATTGCTTTATTTATGTACTGCCATTGCTTTATTTATGTACTACCATCTGTTTCTCCTGAAAGAATCAATGGCTATTGCCTAAATTTGGCCTCCAGCGTTTTTGATATATGTTCTGAAATTCTAAAAATGAGGAGGTGTACATTAGTTTTGACTCTCATTTGTAATATATATTTGCAGGCTTATATTTCCATGGCTGAGTAGCTCTGATCTGCTGTAGTGTATCTTTAGCAGAGTTATATATCATTTGGGGTTATAACTGTTTAATGCTGTCTTTTATTTGTTAGATTTCCAGATGCTTTCCTTTATAGAAAAATATATACTCAACAAAAAAAGAAAGGTAAACATGTTTCCTTGGCGAATACCTGTAAATGAGTGAAAACAAAATGACGTTTGTGCAATATTAGGAAATGGTAATGTTTTACATTACAAAATCCAAGGGGGTTACCAAAATTATTCAAGCGTGAAAGTCTGTATTAGCGAAAGAGCTGCACGAGGTTTTCTGCGACTAACTTGTATCTTCGCTTGAATTTCATAAACATTCAAACTGACAACTGTTCCTTAGATCCTTAGGACTTAGAAATCACCGAATCTTGCTATCTATCAACTTTATCATTATGCCCCGGCTGACACAAGTACAGAGAGAAAGGGCTGTAGGCATGATCCAGGCTGGGGAGTCTCGCCGTCGAGTTGCACGGCATTTTGGTTGCAATGTTAAGACAATTTGCCAGTTGGTAAGTCGTTTAAACCAAACTGGGTCAACATCCGATCGTCCCCGAAGCTGCCGACCCCGTAAAACGACAGCCAGGGATGACCGTCGTATACGATTGATACACTTGCCCAATTGATTCGTAACCGCAGTAGAGACTACAAGGACATTGTTTGGGCGTCGTGTGTCTCCCCAAACAGTCCGCAACAGGTTGAGGGCCTACCAATTGAAAGCGCGGCGTCCCTACACTGGACCCAATTTGTTGCGACGTCACCGTAATAATCGGCGTAACTGGACCCGTATTCACCGTCGTTAGGCCTTACGACAATGGAACAATGTTCTGTTTTCAGATGAGTCCAGATTTTGTCTGCAACACGGTGACGGAAGGCGCAGTGTGGAGGCGACGAGGGGAGCGTTTTGCGAACTGCTGCGTCGCAGAACGGGACCGCTTTGGCGGCGGAAGTGTAATGGTTTGGGGTGGTATTTGTGGGGGTATTCGTACCAGGCTTCTTGTGTTAAATGGCAATTTAACCGGCATTCGATATCGGGACGAAATTTTAAGACCAGTGGTTCTGCCATTCTTAAGACGCCATGGTGTTGGCGCCATTTTTCAACAGGATAATGCACCAGCGCACACCAGTCGCGTCAGCAGAACTTTCTTGCAGCAGAATAACGTACAGGTGTTAGATTGGCCATCTAAATCACATGATTTGTCACCGATTGAGCATGTCTGGGACGTTCTTGGGCGACGCGTGAGAGAACGTCAAAATCAGCCGTCAAACTTGCAGGAGCTGGCCCAAGCCTTGATCGCTGAATGGAACAACATCTCTCCTCGAATTATCCGCCGGTTTACGAGTTCAATGCGACGACGCTGCAATGCTGTTTACTTTACAAACGGTGGCCGTACCCAATACTAATGGTGTTACCTTTGAAATTTACCCCAACGTCCTTTACAGTCGAATAAAATCAACTGAACGCAAAGTCTTATAATGAACCATGACTGCATTTTTATCAGAATTGATCAATTACTTTATTCGTACATGATTGGTAAGGATTTATGAAGGGGTTAATCAATTGATCACAGAATAAAGTAGTGTTACCTTTCTTTTTTTGTTTAGTATAGATTTAAAATGGTACTGATAAAGAGCTGAATTGAAAACTAAATTAACCAATTTACAGTAACATCCACAACAAAGACATGGTGAGCAATGCCTCCGATAGACATACCTCGCTCCATGATCTTTTTTTTTCAAATTGCAGGTTGCCAAGTGTTGCATTGGACATTTCACAATGATTACCACAAAAATCTATGGAAGTATAGATGGTGTGATGCTATGAATTAAATTTGCTGAGGGGTTTTGATACATGTTATGGATGCATGGCTGAAGAGGTAAGTAAATCATAACATATATTTTTATAGGCGTTATACCTTCCTTTAAATAACATCAAGAAAATACCAATATATCAACATAATCAAAATCCAAACTCAAATTCCATAAGGCTAGGGCAAAATTTAAACCAAAGATTTACACGGAGACTCACGAGAAAGCACAAAGAGTAAGCTTCTTATTCATCGACGACACCCGCCATGTAAACCTTGATCAATCCAAGTAAGTAATGTCACGTTCTCAAATGAGAACAATGTATATAACAACGGAAGTAACAGGTTAACCTAGGAGCATCAAACACGTCCAGCTTCATATCGGACAAAGAAATAGAATATTTCTCAATGAGAGCACTTTGGCAAGTTTCAATAGGACAAAAGAAATCACGTTTATCATACCGCTTGGTGGAAAGCTAACCATGTTTGGTTTCGTAGTAGGAAAAAGGTAGAGATATGCAGCTGATATAGAGGACTCTATAGTGTCTTTGATTTCCAATTCAGGTTGGTATATACGATGAACGTGGTAATTTATTTTATTTTAAGACAAGACGTCATCAATAAATCTTAAAGTGACATTAAACGACTTTGCAAGGTTTTTTTACCTGTTTTGATAGAGGCTACATTTCTGTTTATGAAGTTGTCCGTTACACTGAGTGTGGACATTGACCATACCTATCGTACTGTTGACGCGTCGGCTGTCAACAAAGGTCATCTTTCACTGATAAGTGATCGCATCCGTATTAAACATGGACGATATTCTACATGTAGATGTGCCCGACTATATGGTGATAGGGCATATCCACCTTGTTAGGTCTGAAACATTCTTTCCTGACACGGATTAATGAATAAAGTCCCAAGGGCTTTTTACATTTGACAATATACAATACGAAAGATTCACAAGTATGTGGCAGCTAACGATATGACTTCAATTTGATGATATAAATGTATACAACTAACAAGAGAGGCAGTTTGTTGAAGACTATAACAGAGTTTGGGGATCAGAAACATTTAAATCGACACTTATCTTTTTAGTTGTATTAGCATACATAATTGAGTTTGGGAATCATAAAAGTATTTCAACCAATACAGAGAACCCATTTCAGTTATCATTGATTTTTTTCAAATACAGCACATTGTTCAGATCAAACAGCACATGTTATATAAACTGATACACGTACTTCTGTTAGGTTTGTTGGGAAATTACACATGTACATATAGATTGAATCCGAGAGCTTTGTTTTCCTTTCTACATTATAATAAGATAATAAAAAGGTCGTAGATACCAGGTGTTTGTCGCTATCCAAGTTTTCGCTCTGAGAACGTGACATCACCTTCTTTTATAAAGATTTTAAGCTTACCTGAAAACGTCATACTTTTAATACTATGCATTTAATGAAATGATTATATAACTCTCTCTCTCTCTCTCTCTCTCTCTCTCTCTCTCTCTCTCTCTCTCTCTCTCTCTCTCTATACGTATAGATATTTAACTTCTTATCAAAAGTATGTTATACATATGTTATATAAATACACACAATATAGCCATTCACAACTGATTTTGTTTTTTATTTGTATTATCAGATATGTAGTTAGGATATGTTATTATGTCGAACTGCACAAATACGTCATTCTGATAAAGCTCTCAGATTGTCAAACATTAACCAGATATCACATAAATATTTACTTGTTCCGATACGTATGTAAATTTATTTATAGAGATATAAGAAAAGATGATAGTGCTCGACAATTTGATACCGGAAATGCCTGCTGAACAGTAAGCAATAGATTCAATCCTGCATATTGAGTTCTGTCCCATTTACTCAAATCTGAATTTACACTTCGAGTCGCGCATTTGTTCTTCGTAAAGTCTGTCGAATGCTTCGTTTTGCGCCACAGTGAAATGGTTCTTCCAATCTCCAACTTCTCCTGAAAATATAAAAGTATGTGAATAACAAACCAGGATCACAGGAAGATATACACCTGGTCCTAGGTAGTATTAGCATGGAATTAGAAGACACGAGTTGTAGTGGAATCAATCAACATAGTAGAGAACACAGATAATTTCTAACCTCTAAATGAAATAACACTACATATAGTTTGGCGTATTGTTATTTGACGTCCTGTTAACAGCCAGGGCCATTTAAGGACGTGCCAGGTTTGGATGTTGAGGAATGCAGGAATTCCTGGAGAAAAACAAAACCCGCGACCAAGAGGTGGAGAGCTACTGATTAAAACAGTCGGACCACTCAACCACCGCGCCCCTTCCACATAATACAAAATGTATGTGCTCCACAAGATCCCGTAAAAATAAAAACATAATACCTTTCCTGTAGATAGGTAACTTCTTTTCTTTAGACATTTTGTGTATAAAATCCTGGTCTTGTGGTTTGATTTCCTCCATGACAGTTTTAATCATTGTTTTAAACGTGCACCTGTCTGTGACCTCATCAAGGAATGGTTTGTCATATGTCACACCCAAAAACGACGCCATCTTATCAACATGGGAACTGAGATCCTGTCAACGACATGTATATCAATATGACATATTTGGAAAATACGATTTCTGGACAAATTGTTACCTGTTTAATGCGTTTGTTGTATGTACTACTTGCATTTGAGATTTGTGATTGCCTTCTCCATTGACGATGATCTGTATTCTGTTATGTTATGGTTTGTGTGATATATCAGTTATATAAGATCTTAAGTGAATTTTCATCTTATATAAGATTTTATGAAAGGAGTCTAGGCGAGAAAAACTTGAATATTTGAGAGGAGTTTTATCACATTTCCTAACCCATATACATGACCAAGAACAGTAACAATTTGACATTTGCAAAGTAAAGCTGTGGAGCACAAATTTAATGAAGGCAGCCATCCTGCCTTTTATGTTTATAAAGTAAAGTAATCGTCTCTATATTATATAACATTCAATTTCTTAATAGCATAGCCAATGAAAAAAGCTCCATTGAAGAGACATATACAAAAATTATTATATGAGATTACGAGCTGATTGATATAACCAGACAAAAGAAGTGTAATAATATTTTCAGCCTTTAAGATGCTGCAAATAATTTGTAATTTATTTTATTTTAATTAATTTATTTTTTTGCGTTTCAAGGAAAGACTGCTGTACCTTTTTCATTTTTTCGTACACCAGATACATAATATTATCTCCTTTGTACGTGTCCTTGGTCCTCTCCCAGTCGAATAGTGTTTCGAACCAGGATCCATACAGCACTAAAGACAACGAATATCTATTGTAAGACTTATGAATTAAAAAGTTTCGATGACCTATGCCTCTGTAACAAGTTCGTTCCGGTCATCATTTTTAAAATACTGTGTAATATCAAGAAAATTAATTAATTTCAAAAATAGGCGATAACTATAGAACATAATTCGACGAGTACTAAAATACTTCCATAAATCCTGATAGCCTGGAACCAGTATGTTGATGGTATATTAGCATGATCTATACCCAATATACTACCAAGACCATGCGATGTAGTCAACAAACTCCATAATTCATTGGTATAATGAAACTGATCTTTTTTCTTTTGTAGCATGTGTTCCTTGCTGCAGTTAAAGCATTTGACCAAATTCAAATTTTGAAATGTTGTACGTTACATATATAATTTCGAAACATACACTACAAGGTGGTATTTAATTAAGAACGCTTTTTTAATTTGCAAGGACAAGATTTTTAAACCCCGTGCGATGCATGAAGATTACTTACTTTTGCCCTGCATATAAAACCTCAAAAAACCCTCCCAAGATCCTGAAAAATCCGCGTTTTCTAACTTCATGAAAAATACATAAAGAGAAGCAGCGACATCTTTAGGATTCCTGGAAACAACAAACACCTTCCCCTTTCCTTCTCTGACCTGACGGGGAAGTCGGTCAAAGGTCATATGAGAGGCAAAAATTCTCGGTGAAGGCAATTTGTCCAAGACGTCAACATCATTGAAGTCCAGGAAGTCTGGAGATCCTTTGTATGTAGATTTTCCTGTACGAAGCATGCTAGCAATCGTAAACACCCAATGTGTTCCTGAAGAAAAAACATCGTTAAAACAGAAATGTTATGATAATCAATATTACGTTTTATTTTTTTATTTCATTTATTTTTTTCTCAAGTGGTTGACATGGTGTGTTTTAGCACTCGGAAATAATATTCGACATTTCTTAATATCATTTGGAAAGGTGACTTCAGCGAATTGCAAAATAGTTCGTTAGATTATGAAAGGGTACTAAACAATGGTGCATGATTAAATCATAGCACATCTAATTTCATATTTAATCACTTCATGCCTACATTCGTTTTCTTAACTTCTCTTGGGGAATTCTACACATATGATCCAAAACATTTATCAGCAGTCCCAGTAGAAATTACAGTCACACGATTGCTGAACCATTATAAGAATTAATCTTGGACTGACATTTAAATGAACTATTATTGAGTTGAGTTGACCTTTGAGTATTGCATGGACCTTTAAATATTGCATCAAATTGTTACATAAACCCTGTGGTCAATATACCCTTATATCTCAAACGTAAACACATATGTCTATATGTAATACATGATAGAAATACGTGTCGGTCACGTAGAGTTTAATACCGTTAAGTAATTCTTCTGGTCAATGTGATGCTTATGTTGCCAAGGAGGCGATTGAGGAAAACTCCACAGTGATCGAAAGGAAAGTTTTAATCTAGATACAAGGGTACACCTAGCCCCATAATTTTCGTAATTTTCATATATAATATGGTTACAGAACAACGTCAAATACATGTGTATATTCTGAACTGTGCCACTTTTTATACAAAGTTTTATTCACTTGATTTCTTTATGAGGAGTACTCTTGATCGATTCAACGAACTTTTTCAAGACTATCGTGGATATCTTAACTTTGTCGAACAAATTCAAACAATCTACAGCATATTTACAGGCTATCTGAGAAAACTAGAAATACTAGTAACACACAGTGAAGCTATATATGTATAAGATATGTTAGGTATGAATACAATACAGTAATAAGAGTTTGAACGGCTGATATACATATATATAGATCTTAACTATCATATGATGACCTATAACTGTGTACTGAAGGGCTCGGGGCATGTACGCTTGTTTACTTTTGATTAACGTATCCCGTCCAAGAGAAGGTTTAACAGTTGGTGTAAGTATGCTTGATTTTAGGTAGGAAAGAAAAAATGTGTTTATTTAATCTTAGATGACATATTCGGTATGATATTTTGTGTAAGTATACTTGACTTTGGGTAGGAAAGAACGAATATTTAATCTTAAATGATATATTCTGTATAATGATCTATACAAAGAGAATGTATTTCTAAAATAAGGTCCTGAATGTGTATATTTAATGGTAGATTAAATATTCTGTATAATATTTTGTGTAAGTATACCTGACTTTGGGTAGAAAAGAACGAATGTGCATACTTCATCCTAGATGAAATATTCTGTATAATGTTTTGTGTAAGTATACCTGACTTTGGGTAGGAAAGAACGAATGTGTCATCATCCCGAACCTCCATTTGTTCTATCCTCTCGAGGTGATCCTTGACATTCCCAGGTATTATAGTAGTGTACAGTTTTCCTTCATATTTCTTGGTTTTCAATGAAGTACCCTCCTCGTCGAATTCTTCAACAAACTCACACATCGTTAACACTGAAGTATTCACTCACCATGTGTATATCAATACACAAGGCTAAGCTACTATATCAGAAGGTCATGACATTTAATGTGTACTTTGATATTTGATATCACATATGAAGGCTGACAACTAACAGTCGTTTGAGTTAGATTATTCATGAAGTTTTACACGTCTGTAGTAGTATGTCTTCTGGTTTTGTTGTTGATGACCAAATTCTCATAATTATAAATAAAGATGGCAATCGAATACTCCAATATTTACATAAGGGGTGTCGTCTATGAAATAGGGGACGCTTACTCTTCCGGAACACCTGGTTTTACTCTCCTGGTATGTTAAGATATTTGTTCTTCGTTACATCGATTTTGAATTAGGTTTTATTTTGTTTTTATTTTGTGAATCTATGGGTATTATCTTAAAATAAACACTTGTTTTGTTTCTTCGAAAAGATATTCGAACAAGAAATGTCATTTTTTATTTCAGATTATGTCACTGTAAAATACCTGTTTCATGTAATTATTGATATCAAATTATATCTAAAGCTGACAATGCAAGTCTAAAAACTTTCATGGTGGTATTCATGAACCTTACTTTATTTATTTTTCGTACACATAATATTAAATATTGTCCCCTTTATTCGTAGACTTGCTCTTCTCCCGGTCAAAAGACGTTTCTAACCAAGAACCATACACGCCTTTAAACACGTACATTCAAGCATCTGATCTACATGCATATTTGATAGAAATTTTGATCTTAATTGAAAGATTACTTGATTTATTATTTCTTTTTACTTAATTTACCTTGAAGTTTTAATGGTATATTTCCAGAATTTTCTCTTTAGTTAGTGCTTAATGTTGCTTGCTACATGTTCCTCTTATCTTGCTTTCTCTCATTTAACAGGATTTCTATACATTTCTCTTACATATCTTGAATATTCTGTTCGTGGTGTTTTTTCGGTTTTAAATAAATGTCCCTGTCCTATGTTTCTTGCTGATTTTCTTGGTGATCTCTTTTATTAGCTGTACTTTTCTAATGTCTTTTCAGTCTTTAGTATGAATTATCTGCTGATATTTTAAAAGTCAAAGTATCATATGCTTCTTCAATACCCTGGTTTTATACAAAGTTCCAGCTGACTTTCCTCTTTGATAGCTTTATAATTTCCCTTCTGATAATGACATCCCGCCCTAAATTAGTTTCTTTAAATACCATATGAAGTCACTATTTCCAGGGCAATCTTATCCGATGCCATCCACCATTTCCTCTTCACTTCTTAGGAATGGGTCATTTCGTATTCGTATGTTTTCTGAGACATGCTGATATAGATAGATTCTTTAAGAAGATCTTCAAAACAATAACAGTGTTTTATCACCTTTAGATATCCAAGTTTTCTATTCGATTTGGGAAAAAGTAAAGCGTCCTAAAATTGATATTAGGTTTGCACGAAAATCGTGATAATGGGAATAGGTAATTGAATATTAAATTAACTGTGGTATGTAAACACAATATTTTGGGGAAGCAGGGTTGTTACTACCCAGAAATGAAAAAAATCACCGTAAAAAATGATATCATCACGCCTATCATATAGCTTAGTGGGATTCAGTCCATGTTTGTTTCGGAAAAGATCAATATTAGCAGCTGATGTAGAAGAGTCATTCTGAAATATTTTCTTTAAACTTATCTAATGTATTATGTTATCGTGTTTGATTCAACTGGACATTTCACATTGATCTCAATATTCCGTATCGAGTAAGAGATATACATAAATGAATATGACTATGTTCATATCAGCGAGAATCCGGGGAGTTAAAATTAAATACATACGAAACCTAATCAATGACGTGTGAAAAAATAAGGATGCCGGTCTATTGTATTATGTCATGATGGACAGCTATGTTGGTGTATCCAGGAAGAATAAATTGATTCATGTCATCCTTTCAAACCTAACACTCACTAGTAGTGAAGTTGTTATATTGATGATATGAAAAATATGTGACTTGATGTGATTCGATACACTTTGTAACAAAACATGTTGTAACGATGTAGATAAGGTAGGTTTGTTTACATTGTATCGTGTTTCGTTGATATAATCATATTTCGAGGTAACTAAGATACGAAATTCTTCCTATAACCTTTTTAACGTTGTGTGCTGGATATTTCTGTCTTGATTTTAGAATTTCCTTAATTTCAAGACAACGTAGCCACCTGTGCGAATAACACAAATAGCGATGATCATTATTATCATATAAAACTACACCGGAATTTCCATTCCCAAACTATCTAGTACATCACGTGATTTTAGCGTCAGGTTTTCATTGTGAATGCATTAAATAATAACACTGGTATCGTTACACCTGTGAAAACAGAAAACAGATGTACATAGAGTGATTCCTATATAGCTCCCAATTTCTTTGCGAGTAGTATAAAAAGAAAATGAAAAACAAAATTAACAATTGAAGTTTGGCCAAAGTCTGTCAAAGCAATACAGAGTTATCACATTCAGAAGTGATGGATATTTGTCCAGAACTCCTGACCTCACCTTTTCCGTTTTCATTGTCTCTGTATATATTGATTTGTATCGATGATCGATAGAAAAATTGTTCTAGAAATTGGCCGCTTTCTATAAGCAGTACAACAGTATGGCTCATAACAAGAGTCCTGGACAGAATGGTATGGCTAATAACAAGAGTCCTGGACAGGATGGTATAACTCATAACAAGAGTCCTGAACAGGATGGTTTAACGGTTGAGTTAAACTGTTAATTTTATGATATCTTAAGTGATGTCGTTCTGTGTCTCGTTTCGGAAATTACACGAAAGGGTGAGCTGTCAAAATGTATGAAACTCGGGTTCATAAGTTAATAATAAATAATAAATAAACGTTAAAATTGGAGACCTATAGGTCGGCTTAATGTTGATTACAAAATGCTAGCTAGAGCTATGTCTAATAAATAATAAATAAACAAAATGTTTTACCCAGTATTATCTCCCTTTATCAAAACTATGGTATCATAGAACGAGATATAACAGATACTATTTCCTGTATCAGAGATATTATTAATAACAGTGTTAAATGTAATAGACTTTAAACTCAATATTTTCCTATTTTGAATTCAGTAAGACAAGGATATCCCATCTTTGCGATGTTGTATGTTTCAACAGCAAATAATAAATAATACACTTTATTTAATTTACAACAATTGCGAAGCAAGTTTTTCCAACTGATATTAATCACTCTTGTTGGCTCAGATGGAAGCGCGCGAGGGGTTTAAGTGTGGGAGGAAACCGGTGTACTCGGGGAAAACCCACGTGGTCGGGCAGGTGACCCCACACCTTGTCACATCCATTCCGGGAACCCCGGACGAATAAGTGAAAGGCGAGTGCGTTACCACTGCACCAACCGACAACCCAATAAACCATGAGCCTTACCATACTGTCCAAGACTCTTGTTATCAGCCTTACCATCCTGTCCAGGACTCTTGTTATGAACCATACCATCCTGTCCAGGACTTTTGTTATCAGCCATACCATCCTGTCCAGGACTCTTGTTATCAGCCTCACCATCCTGTCCAGGACTCTTGTTATCAGCCTTACCATCCTGTACAGGACTCTTCTTATCAGCCATACCATCCTGTCCAGGACTCTTGTTATGAGCCATACCATCCTGTCCAGGACTCTTGTTATCAGCCATACCATCCTGTCAAGGACTCTTTTTATCAGCCTTACCATCCTGTCCAGGACTCTTGTTATCAGCCATACCATCCTGTCCAGGACTCTTGTTATGAGCCATACCATCCTGTCCAGGACTCTTGTTATCACCCTTACCATCCTGTCAAGGACTTTTGTTATCAGCCATACCATCCTGTCCAGGACTCTTGTTATGAGCCATACCATACTGTCCAGGACTCTTGTTATCAGCCTTACCATCCTGTCCAGGACTCTTGTTATCAGCCATACCATCCTGTCCAGACATCTTGTTATGAGCCAAACCATCCGATCCAGTTTCATCTCTTCTTCTTTTATATATAAAGCTAAACTCATGTGATCTTATTTTGAAAAATGTTTATCGATATATCGTAAAAAAAAATCATCAATTTCAACCTCATCAAATTAAACACGGGAGTACAATTTCTTATAAAAAAATCTAAAACCTGTCCATTGTCATTTTCAAGTTCTTGTTTAGTTTTCGAGCTTTGTTTATGTTTTTCGAGCCTAAACAAATATGCAGTATTGCGATCACTTTCAGTTGCCCATCTGGCCTTAGCTCGAAAAACCGCACCATTACATATTTCATCAAGCTTAAAATACGAAATCATTCAGTTATTATTTAGAACCCACACACCTAGACCTGTTTCTATTTCACTGATATCCAATCTCATGGTTATTATTATTGGTATCAGAAACTTAAATACGGAAAAGTTGGTCTCGGAATTGATTTCTTATAAATGGGAGCTCATTGACTAACACCTTGGTGGGAGTTAAGTAGTTGTAATATAATTCTTTCTAATGTATTATTATGAGGCAATTCCAATAAAATCATGTCATTAATGTGTGAACATTGTACCAACCAACATTTTGATACCACATATCACACTATTTCAGGAGAAATGTTTCTTTTATGTTGAAAAATGCAGCCAAAATGCATATGAAAAGCCATTACTTTTGAGAAAAGTACTGTTTGGACACTACAATTTTTATACTTCCGAAGCCAGTCTATTTTTCATACTTGCTTAATAGTTGGCCTCAGATGATATCTTTCAAAAATGAGAATTCTTGCAAAAAATGAAAACCGGTAACTTTGTCATTTTTCACATTTGCTTTAAAAAACCAAGAAACACTTGTTTTCATGTTCTTTGAATAGTGACATCTTAATAACCAAAAGTCTGTATATCTTGCTATTTGACAAAGTGTTTTTTCATGACCTTATTAGATGGATGATGTACAGCAATGGTGACGGGTTTTGCCTTTGCCAGTTCCGATCTATAATTCGTGGCACTTTTAGAAGCTAATAAG